ATTTTATGAAGCCAGCACTATCCTGATACTAAAGCTAGACAAGGACACTACAAGTAAAGTAAACTACAGTCCAATATCCCTGATGAACATAGATGCAAAAAATCCTCAACAAAATACTAAGGATACAGGTTATTCAGTGCAGATAAGTTTCTTGTAGGCCGTCTAAGTTAAAATAGGGTAAGCGTTCAGACATCTTTCTTACTGGTACACAGCTTTAACCCAAATGACCAAGCACACCAGACCTGACCACCTTGTGACTGGAATGTGAATCTAGCGGTAGTAAACCAAAAGAACAGGGAATTACCCAAAACACAGACATGGTGTTTAAGGAAAGCCCAAATCTATTTAGGCAATAATTTTAATTATTTAGAAGGTTCTTGTGACCTTAGAAGGTTGAGAGATGATAGCAAAAACTTGTGACCAGGCTGGACTCGGTGGTTCAGCCTGTAATCCCGCGCTTTGGGAGGCTGAGGTGAGTGGATTCCCGGAGCCTGCGGGTTCGAGACCTGCCTGGGCAACTTGGCGAGACCTCATCTCTACAATAAAAATCAAAAAATTAGCCGGGCTTGGTGGCTCAGCCTGTAATCCTGCGCCTTGGGAGGCTAAGGTAAGTGGATTGCCTGAGCCCTCAGGTTCGCGACCCGCCTGGGCAACTTGGCGAGACCTCATCTCGGCAATAAATCAAAAATTAGCCGCACGTGGTAGCGCGCACCTGTAGTTCCAGCTACTCGGAAGGCTGAGGCGGAAGGATCACCGGAGCCCAGCAGGTCGAGGCTGCGGTGGCCGGGAGCGGCCACTGCACTCCAGTCTGGGCGACAGAGTGAGACTCCAACTCAAAAAACAAAACAAAAACAAAAACTTGTGACCAAACACCTGCAACCCACCTCTCTTAGATCATAGGTGAAGAGATGGTGATCAAAACTCATGATCAGATACCTGCAGCCTACCACTCTTCGCGTATGGTTTGCTTAATCATGGTTTAAAAAGTATATAAAGCTTCTTGTCAAAGGCAAGCACATGCCCTCTCTTAGGGAAACATGCTCACTCTTGAGCATGCCTCTTTCATTCAAATAAATTCAGTCTTAAATTATTCTTGGGATTCACTCCGAAATGCTTTTCTGTGGCGAAGTCAAAGAACCCACAAAGCAACATACCACACCCCATCTGGCATCACTAACAAACTGAATTCAACAGCATATTAAAAGGATCATTCACCACGATCAAGTAGGATTTATCCCTGGGATGCAAAGATGGCTTAACATATGTAAGTCACCATATTAACAAAATGAAGGACAAAAAACACATGAACATCTCAATAGGTACAGAGAGAGCATGTGACAAAGTTCAACACCCTCTCATAACAAAAACTCTTAACAAAATAGGTATAGAAGACGTATACCTCAACACAATAAAAGCCATATATGACAAGCCCACAAGCAACATCATACTCAAGAGCAAAAAGTTGAAAGCTTTTCCTCTAAGATCAGGAACAAGACAAGGATGTCCACTCTTACTACTTCTATTCAACGTAGTACTAGAAGTCCTAGCCAGAGCAATTAGGCAAGAAATAAAAGGCATCCAAATAGGAAAAAAAAGGTGACATATATGAAAGGGAGATATATATACGTATATATATAAAATCTACATGTAATATAGACAATATAGATAGGTATAATAGAAATGCACATCAAGAGATATAATATACATATATACAAAATATATATAAGATCATGTCATCAGTATAATCTGCTGATGACATTATTTTGCAAAAAGAAAACCCTAAATACTCCACCAAAAAACTGTTAGACCAAAAAACTGTCAGTGACATTTCTATACACTAACAACAAACTATACATAAAAATAATTAAGAAAACAATCCCACTTGCAACAGCATAAAAAATACATTCAAATACTTAGGGGAAAATTAACCAAGAAGGTGAAAGACCTGTTCAGTGAAAACTGTATTGAGAACCACTGCTCTCAAGATACTGTGAGAATTAAATGTTATATCATGTAAAAAAGAAAGAAAGAAAGAAAACTATAAAACATTGATTTAAGAAAAGGACGTAAACACATGAAAAGATATCCCATGTTCATGAATTGGAAGAATTAATATTGTTAAAATGTCCATACTATTCAAAGCAATCTACAGATTCAATGCAATTCCTATCAAAACTTCAATGTCATTTTTCTGAGACACATAAAAAAAATCCTAAAACTCATATGCAAACACAAAAGATCCCACGTAGCCAAAGCATTCTTGAGCAAAAAGAACAAAGCCAGAGGTATCACATTCCCTGATTTCAAAATACATTATAAAGATATAGCACTCAAAATAGCATGGTACTAGCATGAAAACAAGCATACCAACCCATGGAACAGAATAGAAAGCCCAGAAACAAACCCAAGTATTTACAGTCAATTGACTTTTGACAAAGGTGCTAAGAAGACACAATAATAAAATAATAATAGTAAAATAATAAAGTCTTTTCAGTAAACAGTGCCAGAGAAACTGAATATTCACAAGCAGAATAATGAAATTGAGACCTTACCTCACATCACATACAAAAATCAACTAAAAATGAATTAAACACTTAAACATAAAACCTGAAACTGTAAAACTAACAGAAGAAAACATAGATGAAAAGTTCCACAGCATTAGTCTGGGCAATTTCTTGGATAGAATCTCAAAAGGAACAAAAGAAAAAACAGACAAATGAGATTGCATCAAAATTAAAAGCTTCTGCCCAGCAAAGAAAACAATTAACAGAGTGAAAACACAATCCACAGACTAGAAGAAAATATTTGCAAACCATACATCTGATAAGGGGCTAACATTTACAATATATAAGGAACTCAAACAATTCAATAGCTATAAAACAAATAATCCAGTTGTAAAATAGGCAAATGACTTGGATGGAATTTCTCAAAAGAAGACATAAATGGTCAACAGACACATGAAAAAATGCTCACCTCTTAATCACCAGGGAAATGCAAATTAAGCCACAATGAGATATCACCTCTTACTGGTTTGAATGGCTATTATCAAAAAGATGAAAGATAGCAAGCGTTATTAAGAATGTGGAGAAAAGGGAACCCTGGAACATTGCTGGTGGGAATGAAAATTAATACAGCTATTTTGGAAAACAGTACAGAGGTTCTGCAAAAAAAGCTAAAAACAGAATTGCCATAAGACCCAGAAATCCCACTTCTGGGTATACAGCCAAAGGAAATGAAATCAGTATGTCAAAAAGATATTTGCACTCTTGTGCTCACTGAGACATTATTCATAACAGCCAAGATATGGAAACAACCTAAGTGTTCATCAACAAATTAATTGATAAAGAAAATGTGGTATACATACACCAAAGAAATACTTAAAATTCTGTCATCTGCAACAACATGGATAAACCTGGAGGACATTATGCTAAGTATAATAAGCCAGACACAGAAAGAAAAAAAAGCACATGATCTCACTTATACCTGAGGTATAAAAAAGAAGCAGAGAGTAGAACGGTGGTTAGTGGGTTTGGGGCTGGGGAAAGGGGAGACGTCAAAGTTTCAGTTAGATAACAGGAATAGGTTTAGTGATTTACTGCACAGCATGGTGACCATGACTGATAATGTACTGTATATTTCAAAATTGCTAAAAGATATTTTTTAAATCAGGGTCTCATTCTGTCATCCAGTCTGGAGTACAGTGGCAAGATCATGGCTCACCGCAGCCTTGAACTCCTAGGCTCAAGTTATCCTCCTGCCTTGGCCTCCTGAGTAGCTGTGACTACAGGCACAGGCCACCTTGCCCAGCTATTTTTATTATTTTTGTAGAGACAAGGGCTCACTATTTTGCCTAGGTTGGCCTTGAACTCCTGGGTTCAAGCCTGCCTTAGCCTCCCAAAGTGCTGGGATTAGAGGTGTTAGCCAACGTGCCCAGCCTAAAAGAGTAGATTTTAAACACTCTTACCACAAAAAAATTATTAGGTGAGGTGATGGATATGTTAATTAGTATGATTTACTCTTTCTACAATGCATACGTACACAAAACGTCACATTATACACCACATACAATTACCATTTGTCAATTAAAATAAAAAATAAAGTGACAACAGAAAAAACACATGCTAAGTATACTGCAAAGAACTACAAAAAACAAAAAAGTTCACAGGCATGAAACAGATACTTTTTGAACACCTAGGAGATAAAACACACCAGATCTCAGGGGTCTACACTAGAGGGCTTCATTCCCTCTCCCCTGCGTCACCTGCTCTCATCAAAGTCACCAGCGCCCTCTACTTTGCTAAAGAGCATAGTTAAGCCTCCATTCTCCTATTTCTTCACGTCCAGCCTCTGACCTAGTTACTTGATCACTTCCCTGGAAAACACTTGCATCCCCTGGCTCCCAGCCGCCACCCTCTCCTGGTTTCCTCTTCCTATGGACCCGCCTCTTTGGAATTCCCATCTTCCCAGGGCTCCAGCCTTCACCCCCGGCTATGTCAACAGACGGCTCCCACTCCACACGTGCGCCTGAGTTCCAGAACTGTCCCCAAGCCTCCTCCTTTCAGAGCTTTAAGACAAACTCCTCAGGCCAAAGGCGGAGACCCTGACCCACCCCTTTCTCACACACTCCACTGCCAGGCAGGTCAGCAAACCCTGACGGCTCCGCCCTCAAACTACGTTCCGAATCCGACCCCTCCTCCCACACCCACTGCCACCACTCCGGCCACCATCATCTGTCACGCTGGCTGCCGCAGTGACCTTTCTCAAAAGGGAGCGTGTGTCGACGCCCTCCCAGGCCTATCTGCTTGAGTCGGGTTACTTCCCAGCCGCGTGTTCTGCCCCTCCCAGGACCCTCGGGGCCGCAGCGACCTCCACGCCAAGCCCCACAGGCCTGGGGCTCCGCACGTGCTGCTGCCCCAGCTCCCTCCTCCCCGAGCGCCTCAAGGCTTCCTCCCAAGGCACCTGTGTTCCTGCCGCGCTCCTGACCCTGACCTGCGGCCCACCTGGAGGAGCTCCAGGGTCCGCCCCCGTTATCCTCTCGCCACGCCGGCCCCCAGGTCCTCGGCTCCTCCCTGCCGTCCCCTCGCTCCT